ACTGGTTTTATATTTAAGCTGGGATCATTTGCTCAGTAAAATCAGGAGAATCCATGGAATCAGAGACGGGAGGGCCACAGAGCAGGGGCACTGCAGGATGGCTCTAGGTGTCCTAGAGCCAAAACCCAGGAGCCCAAGAACTCGTGGCTTCCTACTCCTCTTGTAGAGTTTGCCGAGGGTGTGCCAGGAGCTACAAACCTTCTGTCCCTTCACTTCCCACATGGCCAGATCCCCCTCTACATCGGGGGCTACTGTCATCTTCAGTGGGCGATGAGTGGGGTGCTGTCCCCTTCAGCCAGTTCAATGCTGCCCAGTGCCAGGTCTCAACCATAGGGTGCTTACACCCCAGTCATGGAACATTACAGCCACAGGACATGGATGTAAATCTTGTCCAGCCCTCTGATTTCACTAAGAACTGGAACTCCAAAGAAATTAAGCATTTTGTTCAAATGACAAATTGGTATCAGAGCCTGACCTGGAAGCCAGATTTCTCATCCATAATCCAGTGTCCTCCCGGGGGGCCAGGGAAGGTCACCAAAATGAAGAGATGGGAAGGCATGGGGCCTGCGATGAGGAAAAGAATACCGTCTCCGAGGGCCCAGGCGGTTAGGAGAGCAGGTATTGCTGGGAGGGCCCTGCACTTTGAGGTTGAGTTCCTCTGTCCTTTAGCCTGCAGACCGTTATTTTGGGCCTCGGGCTTTGGCACTCACCGAACACTGGAAGAAGGTGCTTAGTGGCTCCACAGTAGCACCAGGTGTTTTGTGGATCCAGAGGGATTAACAGTCCCAGGGAGCTAGGGTCGGATTTCTGAGGGACTTGCATGAACTGGAGCGAGAAGGGCAGCAGGGCCATGGAGCAAGGACGTTGCAGGATTGCTCACCGGGAAGAATGAAGCCAGCCCTCCAGCCAAGAGAGGTGCTTGGCGTGTACATTTGCGAGTAAGAAAGCAAAGCTGTTTCTGAATCTGATTCTACCGCCTGTCTGTTGTTGATGGGGAAGGGAAGGGAATGCAGAGTGTGTGTGTGTGTGTGTGTGCGCGCACACACACACACACACACACACGCCAATTGCTGTTTTCTAAACATATGAAAAATTTCACTGCATCTCCAAGAATTCAACACGCACTTAGCATGAGATAATACCCTCTTTATTCTTAACCCTGGATGAGGTCCTGGTGAGAATGTGTATCTACTTTTAGGCCTGAATAAGGCAGACAATGAGGACCAAGGATCAGGGTGGCACTGTCCAGTGGGAACATAATGTAATCTTAAGTTTTCTGGTAATAAAATGAAACAGGTGATATTAATTTTAACATTTTATTTAACCCAATATATCAAAATAGATTAATTTTAACATATAAACAATACAAGGATTACTGAGATATCTGGTGGTACCAGCTGCCCTTCCTGACTCGAGGGGCTGTCTTTGGCGATCAGATACATCAGTACATTCTTTACTTTGTACTTTATTTTTTAAATCCATTGTCTATTTTATCCTGGCCAACTCACATGTGCCTACTGGTGACCATATTGGATGGCATAGGTTTGGAGAAAGAGTCTAAGGAAAGCATTTCCAAGAGGGAGAAATTGAGCCTGGCTGGTGAGCTCTGTGGTTCAGTGTCGACCCAGGCACCAGGCGGCCACTTGTTCAATTCCCGGTCAGGGCACATGCCTGGGTTGCGGGCTCGATCCCCAGAATGGCGCACACAGGAGACAGGTGATGATTCTCTCTCATTGATGTTTCTCTCTCTCAAAAAAAAAACAATAGAAATATATTTTTTATAAAAGGGAAAGAAATTGAATCTTAGTTAATAGGGTAAGTGTTTATCTTGCCTTCTCCCTCACTAGTAAGATAAATGTTTATCTTGCTTTCTTCCTGCATTTTTCCACACACGATAAATAAGGAACCAGATCGTCCCTACCTCTGGGAGATGCGTTAAGTGTGTCCAGATGTTAAGTGTGTTTGGATGTGAAGGTTATGATGAGGATTGCCTTCTGGTTTGAATAGGACTGAGACCAAGGAAGGTGGGGCATCCGTATCCCTTTCAGGCCTGGGGATAGGATGGTGCCTTTAGTGCCCATCACACCTTTCACGTGCTGAAAGGTAATGAGAAGGTCCACGCTGGTCTTCTGAAGAGGCTGAGCTGGGTGTGCGCTGGTGGTACCAGCTGCCCTTCCTGACGCGAGGGGCTGTCGTTGGCGATCAGACACAGAGGCTCGGCTCTCAGGGGCTTTGCCACCTTGTCAAGCTCTCAGACTTCCCTGAACCTTAACATTTCATTTTCTGCCCTCCCCTTGTCATCAGGTTAGTACATGAGTCAGATGAGGGCTTGGACTTTTATGTGCTTTGAAAGCTGCTTTATAAAAATGCTTTATTAAAGAAAGGGTTTAGAGAATATCAGTCCTTCTTTCTGATTCACCAACTATTTGTGGATGATCGTTTCCAGTCACCACTTTGAAATTAAGTCTATTGAAAGATGCTAGAGACTTCCGTAAACTCTGCAGACTACTCTGAGAGATTGTCCACATTCTCTCTGGTCTGCCTGTGACCTGAGGTTATCAGGCCCCCAGCTGGAGTTGGGAAATATTTTTATTTGTATGAGAACTTTGCTTTTATGAGGTGCAACCCATATCAGTCTGGCGCTGAGAATCAGTGTCAGATAGTTGAGCACTTCTGCAGCCTGTGGACCAGCGAGCGCGCACACACACACACACACACACACACACACACACACACACCATGTGCCCCTCGGGAGCCTGCCTTTCAACAGGATCCCAGGAGAGACCACGAATGTGAAAGTCTGAGAAGCAGTATCCCAGCTAGTGATGTCAGCGCAGCCTCAGCTCGGACAGCTCTGGGACAGGCCGAGCACACTCATGAGGCAGCCCCTGCTGTTGCTGGACAGACAGCTCTTACTCTTAGAAAGTCTCCCCTTCGCTCCCCTTGCCTGCAGGCACGCCCCGCTCCGGGTGCCCAGAGTGCTTTTCACTCTGCTGCTGTGTGAAAGCCCGCCGAGTAGACTACTGGTGACCTTCGTTACAGTGAAGCCTGGCCCCTAGGCTGGTGGGACAGGAAGGTAGACTGGTGCCTGGAATGGATGTGGGTCCTGCAGGGCGTGCCTGTAAGGGCAAGGTCATGTCAGTGGCACCAAGCAGGAGGGGGCAGGGGTGGCCTGGGAAGAGCAACCCAGCAGCTTTCCCTGCCTCTCGCTGAGCATAGCTTTCTGGGTCCTAAAAAGAAAACGGGATTGATAACCCCTGCCCTGCCTGCCTCCAGGGTTTCTGCGGGACTCCGTGAAGATAAGGTCAGTGAGCACACTTGGGAAAGCGGGACATGGTCCAGGGATGAAAGGGAAGAAGGTCCACGGGGAGAGTCGATGACCCCAGGAACCAAGTGTCCCACTAGCTCACTGTGTAACCCCTGAGGAGCCCTCATCCTCTCTGGGCCTCTCTGAAATGAGTGAGCTGTGCACAGGTCTCCCTGAAGATGCAGAGGCTCAGTGCTATGGTGAATCGCCTGGGGAATGTCTCCAAGGATGACTCTTCAAATATTTATTTGGGGAGACTCCCTGAAGCTTGAGATTGAGTCCTTTGGGAGGGAAATGATTTCAGAGACCCTTCCGGTGCAGCCTGGTCTCTGCTGTGGGAGACCCACTTTAAAGAACCATGATCGCCCACTCTGTAAGACCTCTGAACTCCTCTCACACTACTGGAGTGAGTCGTGTGCAGCTCTTTCCAGAACAGTTGTGTTACTCAGGTGTGTGAGTACTGAAATGTGGGGTGCCTGGCAGTTTTGTGAGCCTGCTTTGCCAGCAATTGACGAGGTAACTGAAACTGGCTTCGGTCCAGCAACCCGTCCATAGATGCTGGGCAGCGGAGAGCAAGGGGACCAAGCGTGGTAACGGAGGGACGCAGCTGTTCTTCAGGCAGCCCTTCCGTGTCCGTCCTCCACTCTGGGGGCCCTGTGTTGTCCTTCTCACCTCCCTGCAGCCATGTCTCAGCCTCCCATCTCATCGCCTGGATGCTTGCTTCTAACTCTGTACATTGCATTTTCTCCTGTGCACCCACCGTGTTGTCCTGGAGACTCGGTGGCCCTAGGCTACGAGTGTCCGGTGTCATCGAGTGTGATGGTGTGGTACGTGTATTTGCTCACGCTTTTATTTTGAATTCTTTCCAATGTGACATCCGCTAAAATGTCTCCCTTATAATTTGCTTGATGATCACAGCCTTCTCATCATTCATTGAGCGCAGGACCTGATCTCACAGAATCTGAAAAGAGTTATGTGGTAAGACGCCTGTTGACTAAGACTGTAGCTTTTGTAAAGAGAGTCCTTACTGGCTTCCAGAGCACAGCCGGAAGTATTGCCTGGTTAACGCTCAGCCACTAGTTACAGGATTTTAAGTGGCTACTGTCCTAGAGAGGTGTGAGGCCACCCCTTCCCTCTCACCGAAGCAGAGGAATTTACAGATGCCATGTCTCCTCTGCCTCCATATGGGATTAAATCAATGTCTTAGTGCATGACCGGGGATACATCCTTGCCTTTCTATCCTGAAGTTATTCTGTTTGTAACAGTTACTCACTAATTGCAGGCTTTTGTGCTGCTACCTTTTTTTTAATATTCATACTAAATTCTGAATTCTGTATCTTACCTGTTTTCCATGCTTACGCCTGGATCCCTCCTGCACTCCACTACTGGAATATCTATTTTTTTAACCTGGATCTTCAACTCTGTTGTTTCCCTGGACTTATGTGCTTCGTCTGGAATGTTCCATCTCTTCCTCTCTTTCTTTTTTTTCTTTTTTTTTTTTTTTTGTCCCCATGTTGACTGTTTTATGGGGGTTTCTGGATATCTCGGGGCCACCTCGCAGGAAGCAGTGTGCAATGAGATCATAAACATTGCCGAAAAGTCTGTTCATTACTGCAGCACTGTCTCTCATCCCTTTGACTTCCATCACAAGGTACCCCCTTCTGACAATAAATCATCTTTAATCATTTCTCAGCAACCTCAAGCCCAGCAGCGAAGAGTCACCCCAGACAGGAGTCAAGCCTCACAAGATTTGTAAGTACATGTGGCAAACTGCAATTCTGTTGGGCTGAGAAAGTGGGTCATTGACTGGCTGTGGGGCAGCCAGGTGGGGGAATGAGTGACTCACTCCTAGCTTCTCTGAGAATTTAGTGTTTCCCATCAGCCAGTGTGAGAACAGGTGGCAGGTAAATAAAGGTCATGACCTACTGGGAGAAAGACAGGTAAAGAATGAATTGCTCTCCAAGGACAAATGAGGGCTATGCTGATGGGCTTCCCTCCTAGTGTTGTGGGAATAGAGGAAGGAAATTAATTCTGACTGGAGCTGAGTGAAGGGTTGATCCATTCATTAAAAACAATATGTTGGCTCTGTCTCTGCTTTTAAGCACAGAGGAGTAACTCCCTTCCCAGAGGGAGGGGATTTGGAATAAGCATTGAAAGACAAACTAGAGCAGGGTCTTCCCGGCTAAGGAAACCACACGGGCCAGGGAGGACTTGGACAACCTCAGAGGTGCCCACGTGGCAGCAGGGCATAGTCCACAGAGGAAACAAAGCTCAAGAAGTAGGTTGGGCCCAGGTTGTAGAATCCATGATGTGACTGAAATGTGTGGATTTTGTTCTGCAGGCTGTCAGCTGAGGGTTGGAAATGAGGAGGATATTGATTCTGTTTTGTTTTGGGAGATAACTCTGGTAGCAGAGTGGAAGTTGGATTTCAGAGGTGAGGAACAAAGATGCTGGTCAGGAGATGTTAATCCAGGCAAGAAGTGACGGGGGCCTGAGCCAGGGCCTGAGTGGGTGCGTTGTGACCAGGGGCACATGCAGGGTGACCCAAGTAGATTCTGGGCAGAGCGAGAAGGGCAACGAGGGTAGGTCCTTAGAGAACAGCTTTTTAAGGCCACAGAGGAGCCACAGGAGACTCGGGAGAGGGTCTAGGAGCGATCCCTTGTGCAGACGAGCATGGTGTTGGGTCAGCAGTGTCTCCTGCTGCAGAGCAGTCAAGGTGGGAGGAAATGAGACGTGACCTTCAGGTGTTCTGTTCAGCAACTGGAGACGATCATGGGTGACGGCGGAGACAGCAGTTAGAGAAAGGGAAGCACACTCCTCCTTAGAAAGGGTTGGTAGTCAGGGCCATGGTGGGTGAAAGGGCTCTAGATGGAGGAATAATAGACAGAGAGGGGGTATTTTTAGGGTACAGAGACGTAAGTACATTTGTACCAGACGAGATGGGGTTGACAAAGTCAAAAGATGTAAGAGAGAGCACAGAAGCTAAGGAACCAGCCCAGGGAAGGGAGTTCAGCATGACCAGAAGGACCCTTCCCCCCAGGTGGGAACAGAGCAGGAGGGAGGGGGTCCAGAGACTTAAACCTGAACGAGGCAACGTGATGAGCCCTGTGCACAGAGGCAGAGGCGGTGGGGGACTACCAGCCACACTCCATAGTCTGGCAGTGGAGCAGGAAGCAGCATCAGAAGTTACTTCCCAGAGCTGAGCCAGGAGGTGAAGGGGAGCAGGCGTTCCAAGGAGGCCAGGTTGGGTGGGAGACAGCAGGCACAAACAGAAACAGCGAAGTGTGTGCCTTTGCCGACTGAAATCTGTGGCCTCTCTTGAGTCCTCGTTAGAGACCCTCCGGCAGGCAGATCCACCTACCACAAGACGGGCCCATTCAGATAAATTCACACAATGAAGCTGCCGCGTGGGTCCCAGCAGAGGAGAAGGAGCCTCTTGTTCTGGGCTCTGGCTTCGCTTCCCTGGGTCTAGTCTGTCTTGCTCACACACTGGAGATCACAGCATCTGCTGGAAATGGTAGATGTTTGGCTCAGGGCAGAGTTCTTCCTGCTACTGTTGTGTTTCAAAATAGTAAGCGAGCAGAACTGTGAACTGGTGTGCAGTGGATGCGTTTTAATTATTTGTCAAAGGGCTCGGTGAAAACGAAGCTTTTCCTTGTTGCCAAAGCAGATGCCAGGCTTCATGCCAGCTTCCTCCAAGGTTGCTGTTAGAACAAGCAGAGCAGCACACCCCAAATCGCCTTCAGCCAACTGCCACCTAAATAAAAATCTTAACCCCCAGATCACTGGGATAGGAAAAAAGGCTTTCAATAGTTTCAGAAAAGTGACATCCGTATTTTAAAACAATGAATGAAATGTCTGTTGGTGGATTAAGAAACTCTAGTTATGCTAAACGGTGAGGCAACTGGAATATATTTCATATAAATATGACAATTTTATAACATGACAATTGCCTTGGGCCAATGTAAATTACCAGAATATAATGCCTATCTCTGGACTTCAGTAACCTCTGACTATTCTCAATAACCTATATAAATTATCCCATGTTAAGAAAAAATTTAAAAGGGGAGGAGGACATCTAGACAAAATCCTCTGTTATGGTAACCAAATGAAACTAAGGAAAAGGATTGGTCATGACTTGCTCAGAAGTTCTCCATCCCTGCCTGTCTTAATTTATTATCCGACTAGAGGCCCAATTCTCAGATTCATGCACTAGTAGGATCCCTTGGCCTGACCTGTGCCCTCTCACAATCCGGGACCCCTCGGGGGATGTCAGACTGCCGATTTCTGCCCAATCCCTGCAGGCCAGGTCAAGGGACCCCACCGGTACACAAATCCATGCACCAGACTTATAGTATGCATATAAGATCTTTGGCTAATCTCTCCCCATGCTCCTCCCTCCCCCTTCCCTCTAAAATTCATCAGTCTGTTCCATGTTTCCATGCCTGTGCGTTGAGCATCTGCCCCCTGGTGGTCAGTTCATGTCATAGCTACCGGTCAAAGAGTCAGACAGTAGCTTAGGCTTTTATATAGATAGATAGATGTGGACTGGATCTCCCCCAATGCTAAGTCATTAGAAAAATTGTCAATAAATGCTTCTCCAGCCCTCCCCTTATTTTTCTCTCCATTTATGAGCTGGAAACACTACCTAAATGTTGATTTAATTGAAATGGCTTTAAAAAGGTCCTTATTTAATCCTATCAGTCACTTAATATTCCTTTTTCTCATTGATAGATTTAGCTACCAAGCATTATATAGCTATATACCACAGAACGATGATGAGTTGGAACTCCGAGATGGAGATATTGTTGATGTCATGGAAAAGTGTGACGATGGATGGTTTGTTGGTAAGTGATCTGGTCCCGCTTCTCTTACTAAACATGTTCTGAGGGAACAACTAGATGTAATAAACCGTGCAAAAGCCATATTCCCCACAGGGAAGAAAAGCCTTCTCGGTCCCTGGACCACTGTGAGTGCTGGGCACAGTTCATGTTTGCTCTCGAGGCTGTGTGGCTGGTAGTAATTAGTGTTGGACTAAAGCTCAAACATGCCAGCATCAAATGCATGGGAGGGCACTTGTCAAATTCATTAAGTTCTGTTTGTATTTCTATTGTGCATGTATCTGTTGGAAATTTTATTTTTTAAACTCTAATGAAACAACACAAGAAAATCTGGCCAAGACTAGGTCTCTACCATGAAACATACACGTATGTGTAAACACTTTAAGATCTTATCTACTCCAGCCTTCTAATAATTTTAATCAAAGCAATCTGCTTAATTAAAACAAAGGATCCACCTTTATAAAATGGGGGAATAAGTGAAATTCTGTTACAAAGCAGATACTTGCTTGATATACTTTCTTATTGATAATCTTTCAACAAACTGCCCAAAAGCCAAGTCTAATCCTCATTTCACAGATTCAGAAACTGAAGCCCAAAGAGATTAAGTGCAGAGCCCAGGGCCACCCAGGCAGCGAATAGTCGGGCCCGTGTTTGAACCCCGGCCCACCTGGCCCCAAGCCTCTGTGCTGCTTGTCAGGTGTGAGTATGATGTTGGGAGTCACCGGCTCATTTTCCCTTCGTTTTCCCCTTGTACAATGGCTTTGCCTTTATCTTCTTTCCAAAGACTCTTTCCTCATCTCTGCACATGCTTACCAAAGCATAGTGATGCCAGGGCTGGGGCAGTGAGACAGCAAGGTCTCAGCAGACTAGTCCACAGGAAGCCAGGAAGACTGGCCGTGGCCTCACACCCTCTTAGAAGCCGCCCATCCTCCCAGGCCCCCCGAAGCCTGTGGGCGCGCTACCTCGAGTGCCGTGTTCAGAGGAAAACCAGAGCTGAGCAGTCAGCAGTACACGGTGCCGCGATTTTCAGCCCGTGTACCACAGGAATGTCTAAACCATGCAGTTCCTGACTATTAGTCAGGGGCACTGACCTCTTTTCCCTTAGATTGTCAAATTTTTTAAATGATACCAGCAATACAACAATAGCCGCCTGCTGTGAATGATTCAAAATCATACCTTTTTTTTTTTTTTTTGGCAAATTAGCAAAAAATATATATTTTAGGTGTGCCACAGAATTTTCGTAATTAGTTTATGTGTGCCATGAGATGAAAAAGGTTGAAAATTGCTCTTCTGATGCAAAGAAGTTCAATAGGAACATAATACAAGCCATGTACGAAATACAAACAGAAACCAGTGAAGTGGATTTTAATATATTTTATTAAACCCAGTGCATTAAAAATGTTATCATTAGAACATGTAATCGGTATAAAACACTGTGAGCTACTTTACATTCTTCATTCTGTGCTGAGCCTTGGCAGTCGGGTGCCGTGTCCCGGGGCGGCCGGCTCAGTGCGGAGCTCAGCAGATGCCCGTGGCTGCCGCGCTGGAGCCCAGCTCCCGGGCATTCGCACTGCTAACCTCTGCTCTCCCAGAGGCAGTTACGATTCTCACCAGAGCGTGGGGTGGGGTGAGGGGCACCAGTTCTCTAACGGGGCATCCCGGCAGCTTGGAAAAGGAAATATTTCAGATTCCTCAATTCCTCAAACACTTCCAAAAGTAACCCAATATTCAGACTTCGAACAAAGTAACCCAGCCAAGCTCCTTCTCCTTGTCCATAAGGCAAGGCACTCACCAGCTCTGGGCCTTCCCGCCTTCCTGACGCCCCCTCCCCCCAGAGGGTCAGGTAGTCGCTGTGACACACTTTTATCTGAGAAGTTTCTCTTCGGGCGACAGCTCCAACCCACTGGTATTGGCTGCTTAAAAGGTTGTATTCAGCAGGATTCTGAGCCATATCCAGGCCAACAGGGAAAAGGAAGCAGTGCTCAGATTGTGTTGTCTGCTAATGAGAGGGTAATGTGGCACAGCGCTGCTCCAGAGAGAATCCAAAGGCAGGAACATGATAGGGGTCTGGAGCAGCCCAGGCAGAGCTTTGTTCCCACACCGTGTGCTGCTCCTGGCTCAACGGGAACCCTCCTAAGGTTGGTCCCAAAGGCTGGGAGTCAGCGTGGGGCTTCGGCAGGCTTAGGAGAGGAACGGGGGTCCTATCCATTGGGCTTCCCAAAACCCTGCACTTTAGAAATTGTAAATCCCCAGTGAGTTGTGTTAGAGAGATGTGTCCATTCTTCCTTTATCTTCTTTCCAAAGACTCTAATGAAACAACACAAGAAAATCTGGCCAAGCCTAGGTCTCTACCATGAGAAACAGAGAAACATTGGGAAGAGCAGTGGCTGGAGATCAGAGGCCTAAGTTCAAGTCTGCCCTGGTGCCTGCTAAGCTGTGGGGCCTCAGCAATGTCACCTAAGCTCTCTGAAAAGAAGCTCATTTGACCAGAAAGAGGATTGTTAACACGCCCACCCAGCCTGGCGCTGAGCCCGAGTGGGATGGATAGGGGAAGTGCTGCAGAAGCGCATGCTGCACTGCCGGCTGCAGGGGGCGCTCTCCAGCCTCTGCACCCACACAGGCGTCTTCTCATTGTCCGTGTGTTTTTTTATAGGAACTTCGAGAAGGACAAGGCAGTTTGGTACTTTTCCAGGCAACTATGTAAAGCCTTTGTATCTGTAAGAAGACTGAAACCCGCAGGGGGATTTTTATTGGAGGATGAAGCATCACCCATGAACTGGTCTCTTGATTTAAAAGTTGCGTCAGTGGGAAAAGTAATACAGTGGATAAAGAACGAAGCAAAAGAGCGGACAGAGAAGTGTGTTGTGTTTAAAACCCGGGCCTGTCTCAGCTTACCGCGTATCAGACAGGCCCGAACCATGTGCTGAGCAGAAAGGAATGAGGCAAATCTGTATTTATTTAGCTGCTTCCGGGAGCCTCTCCAGCCCTCCCCTCCGCTCCCGTCTGAGGTAACCTGACCTGTGGCCGCAGAAATGCCTCCTGCTGCCGCCTCCCTCACCTGCCCGAAGCTGCCCGAAACCCCTGGCAGACCCCCAGCCATTCTCCAAAGGCTCCGCACAGACCCCCGCCCCAGCCCCCCGCCCGCGCCCGCTGGCCCCCAGAGCCATCGGCGCCGCTGGAGGTCAGTCTGGGCTGCGAGGTCCTCCCCGGACGGTGGTGGAGGCTCCACCCCGGACCCGCTGAGGTTACTGGGGAAATGGAGGTGACCCTTCGGCGTCCCGAGCATGCACACCCAGCCTGCGGCATTGCCACTGACCCCCATGTCAGACAGAAGGGCAGGGGAGGTTTGCCCGTGGGAGCAGGTGGCCAGGCAGACAGTTACATGTGTGTGTGTGAGTGACTTAGGTCAGGAAGCGCTGTGGCTCCTGAGGTCACATCCCGGTGCCCCTTCCCGGATCACTGGCTTCCGCGGGTGTTCCCTTTCAGGGCAGTGTCACTGATCAGACGCCGTTGCTGATCTTTCTCTTCTGGATTGTTCTCGGCCAGGACAGTGTGGGGTTGATAGGCCTGTTCTCAGGGAGAACCACAGATGGAGATGTTCAGTGATTCAGTTAGCACACCCGGATAGACACTGGATGCCGGGCACCAGCAAGCAGAGACTCACCGCATCCCCACAGGAGTTCAAGGGCCCCTCAGAAGGGAGCCCCCAGGCTGTGAGTCCTGGTGCCCCCGGGCCAGGCTCCGCTTCAGAGCAGAGGTGCAGATGCAGGGCCTGCGGTGGGAGGGAGTGATTCTGCTGCTCCCAGAGGCCGGAGCTAAGGGGCGAGGCCCCTGAGACACCTGGGTCACAACTCTGTCCAGTCGGCCCTCTCTGTTGGACCCCTTGGAGAACGAAAGACAGAAATGGCCCATTCCCTGCCTGCCGGGGACTCAGGTGATTGAAGGCAGACAGACACACATACACACACACACACACACACACACACACACAAAGACTCACTCAAGAGAGACTGTGAAATGTGCTAAGAAGGGTGTGAGAGAGGAAGAGATGAATTTTCCTGGAGGGATCCTAGAAAGTACTGTATTTCTGTCCCCATGAGCTCACTGTTGAACAACTAGGATGCTGGACAAACCTTTGCCTGAGGGCACTTTATGACTGAACTTGCTTGGAGCTCTTTCCAAGTCTTCAAACTCTCACCCTCTCCACAAATCCACATCCGGCCACAAGTAGGAGCAGCAATTCCGAGTGCCAGAGTGTGTGCAGGAGCCCCAGCTCTCTGCCTGTAGCTCAGACATGCCCAGCGCCATTGTCCCAACATCTGAGCCTTTAGAAGTAAGCAAAGTTTGTCTTCAGTGTCTCTGCCTCCACTTCTGTCTCCACGACTCATCTTAGGATCCCACCGGCTGCCCACCCCCCATCAGACAGCTACAGAGCCCTCACTTCTTCCCCGTCCTCTTCAAATCTTGCTGGCTGGCTTCTTCACACTAAAGTGCAAATGACTGATACAGGAATGTGTTACCTGTTTGTTTTTAACTAGAGTTTGTTTTTAACTAGAGCGGAGCCTTAATCCCCAGGGAAAAGACTGTAGAACTAATGGTGGGGGTGGGGTCTGGTGGGGTGGGGGCGCAGGAAGATGGAGGAGCCTCCTGGGTAGAAATTCCTTAAATAAGATTCGTTGCTTTGGGAGGCCCACCTCTCCGCCCAGGGCACTGTGACTTGGGAATAGAGGGAATAGAGTACAGTGTGCGTGCACATGCATTCGGCCAGCATCTCACCCGTTTGGAAATATAATTCTTGTATTGGCTTATGTGTTTCCCGGACTTTCTTAGATGCAAACCATTAATATCATGATCTTATCTAATAGTTTTCTGAGGGGTGCTTCTTGATTCCATAGGTAATTGTGAACACCTCTTTAAATACAGCTAGAAAATAAAACCAATTTGTAAAGCCACATTTGCATATGACGCCAGCCTCCCGCCTTTGTGTATCAACAGAAACCCAGATATGCCTCACCGGTTTGCCCGTCTTTAATAAAATCATGTGTTCAAATTTGCATCAAACTTCAGCTTCCTATGTGTCACCAGACAAGGAACAAAGATTTCCAATGCTCTCTTGTCGTCAGACATTTAGTATGATAAAATGCCTATTTTTATGCTGAGATGTTTATACAGGTTTATTAATAGCAAGTGCAGCGAGCAGGCGGCATGCCTCGCAGACAGTTTTGATATATTAGCCACGCTTCTGGGGACAGGCAAGCCCCAAACCACCTCTCCTGTGCAGTCTCCCTGGGAAAAGCCAGAGGAGAGAACCGTATGCTTACGTGGGACTGTAAATATGTACATTTAACTTTGTATAGCCCATGTACCTACTTTGTATAGAAAAATAATTTTAAAAATTGCAACTGAAGGGAAGTAAAATAAGGAAGTCATGAAGTTTTTTGCATTTTTATTTAAGTGAAGGAATTCTACATAACTCACCGGCAGATTTTTAGCACAAATATAGCCATTGTAAAGTTAAAATTTTTAATAAATAATCATTATTTCTGGGAGAGAAGGTAGTAACTATAATCTCAGTTACAGTTTTTTGGTTTTGAGTTTGTTGGGGTTTTTTGTTTGGTTTCTTCTTTCTTTTTTTTTTTTTGGCAGTTCTAGCTATCTGAAGTAGCATTAAGTCCTATTGCTGGAATAGGTTACTACAAAAAAGAGCAAAAGGTGATATTCTGAAAGAAGAAGAGTAACTGCCATTATTCGTACACAGTTAACGTGCTACCATTTACGTTACACACCGAGGACACGCGCTGTGCAGCCACAGTTCTCCCGCCGTTTATTTCTCCTTATTGCAGTGGGTTGATTTGATAAAGATGTTGAATTATCACATTTGCTGTACATATTATTTAATAAACTCTATTCAGAACCATGCGGTATCCAGTTGTTCTTACCTTTCATTGCTTCCTCCTTTTGCCAACCTTCCCAAAGGAGACTTACATTCACTGCTTCGATTTTTCTTATTTTTCTTTTTCATTCTTTTTATTTTTTTATTTACAGAGGGGGGGAAGGAGGAGAGAGAGAGAGAGAGAGAGAGAGAGAGAGAGAGAGATTGAGATGAGAGCCAAACATCAATTGGCTGCTTCCTACACATCCCACCTAGGGGTTGAACCCATAACCCAGACGTGTGCCCTGACTGGGAATCGAACTGATGACCTTTGGTGCCAGAGGGCACATCGGATGGGGCTCCTTTTTCATTCTTACTCATTTGCCATCTGGCTCCCACCCCACTCTGTGAAGACACCTCTTCTTCCCTTATTCTCTTCTCAGTAAGCTAACTTCATGACCTTCTTTGAATTATCGTTGAGCATTTCACCATTCTTTCTGTATGTTTTTATTTGTTCTGATTACAGAAATAATGCATATGTCTTTAAAAGGAAAAGGAAAACATTAGGAAATATGTTAAAGGGGTCTTGATTTGGCCCACCAGAGGCACAATAAATGACACACACTTGGTTTTTCTAAATCAAATTAAACCTAGAAAGTGAAAGTTATTCATAATTACAGTTGCCCCCACAGAGGTCACCAGTGCCAACTACCGATATGTGGTCCTCCAAGCTCTCTCCTCTGCACATGGGACATACCCAAGTCTGTAAACAAACGCTTTGCCTAGTCTTTATCCCCTTACCAGTGGAACTGGGACAGGTTTCCATAATTCACCAACCCCCTATTGATGATGCAAATGTTCGAAAGTCTCACCAGCTTTCTACCACAACAAACAATGGTGCATTGAGTACAATTATTGGCTCAAAGAGCAGGAATATTTGAAATCTTGAGATTCTGCCAAATTGCCTTCCTCAAAAAATGCCGATTTTATTCTAGGCCAAGTTCTTGGGAGTGTCTATCTCCCCACCACCCAATTAACCGCTTCTATGAAATGTCCCTTGGTTCTCCTGCCTTTTCTCTGATTGGCCCCTTCTTAGTCCTCTTTCTATCTTCGCTGGGTTCTCAGCCCTCTGTTATTTTCTCTCCACACGCGCTCCTTCAGGTCTCAGATCTCTCACAATGTAATATGAGGCCAAGAATCCATTGTATGTGGGCTCTTTTCAATGAAGAGTGGTAGAAACCTAACACCACAGACCATTCTTGAATGACATCACTGGGAAGAGGGGAGTTGAAGCTAGCATTAGGCAGGAAGGAATCTAGAGACAAAGTTTCTGTTGGTGCCTGACGGGTTTGGCTCAGTGGATAGAGTGTTGGCTTAGGACTGGATGGTCCCAGGTTCAATTCTAGTCAAGGGCATGTACTTTTGTTGTGGGCACATCTCCAGTAGGGGGTGTGCAGGAGGCAGCTGATCAATGCTACTCTTCCATGTTTCTAACTTTCTCTCTTCCTCTCTGTAAAAAAAAAAAAAAGGAAAAAAATCAATAAAATATATATTTTTTTTAAGCTTCTGTTGGTATTTGTCTTATCCTGGGGGTTGCTGGTCTTGTTTGGCTGCACGTTTACCATTTCTCTGACTGCAGACGAGGCCAAAGGCCCTCCTGTTAAGTTCCTACTTGGTGCAGGTAGTTTATTGCATGGATTCGCCAAGAAGGTATTATAGTTCAGATTGAGAATATCCAAAAACGTTTAAGATGAACCCAAAGATGCAAAAGGCCTTGATGAGATTATTAATGACCGTGTGACACCGTTAGTTTATGATGTCTGTCCTGGAAGATAACTACTCTTCCCTT